ACAGCATAGCCTTTATTTTATAAAAACTATTCCTTATATTGACAAACTACCTTTGTGAGGCACCCAGCTCAGAATTAAAGGATGTATACCCAATTTTTGTATTTTCTGAATATTTGATAGGCTAGCAAAATAATAATCTTTTAAGTAGTATTCATTACTTATCTTGTTCCTTTATGTATGTACAGCAGTATATCTACTGTGTCCAAATGAGTATGTTCAATATCTACTACCTAACATGAGGGAACTGTACAGATAAAGTACCTGCATATCTTAACATGTGGAAATTGTAGAACTAAGGTACCTACAGACCTAGCATGAGGAAAATGTAGAGATAAAGTACCCACAGACCTAACATACTGGACCTGTACAAAAGGTACTCACAGGGAACTGTACAATTAAAAGGTACTACCAGACCCAACATGAGTGAACTGCACAAATAAGGAACTCTTAGATCCTAACATGAGGGAACTGCACAAATAAGGAACTCGTAGATCCTAACATGTGGGAACTGAACAATTAAGGTACCCAAAGACCCAACATGAGGGAACTGCACAAATAGGGTACCCAAAGACATAATATGAGGGAACTGCACAAATAGGGTACCCACAGACCTAATATGAGGGAACTGTACAAATAGCGTACCCAAAGACCTAACATGAGGGAACTGCATAAAAGGTACCCACAGACCTAACATGAGGGAACTGCACAAATAAGGAACTCGTAGATCCTAACAAGGAACTGTAGAATTAAGGTGCCCAAAGACCTAATATGAGGGAACTGCACAAATAGGGTACCCACAGACCTAATATGAGGGAACTGCACAAATAGGGTGCTGGGCAATGAGACCCATATTAGGAAATGGTTTACCTTATCCTGACTTTTCCAGATACCCCTTAGTTTAGTGGCTTCTGGATCTACTGACCAGGAGTTGAAGTTAATAGGTAGGTATAGTTTTGGTATACCGTAAATAGTGTACATGCCAAGACCGTCCATACATAAAAAAGGATTGAAAACATACTTTTTTTTATATATATTTGGATAGATTTAAAAGAACAAAACCAGTAATGAATACTATGACTACATACTTTGCCACCCTGTCTTACAACAACATAATATGTACCTGAAAGGTTATACTTTAACTCAAGATTGTAGAACCACACATGGGCAGAATTGTTCGATAAGGAAATATGTTTTGGGAGTTGTTCAATAAATAAATGTGTTTTGGCGTCCCAATTCCCCAAAACTACCCACTGACACACAACTGCTTTAAACAATTGAATTAATTCAGGGCAGGTTAATTGAGTAAGGCCACAAGCAATGTGCAAAACGCAGTCATCGACACAACCAATCAGAACTCATGTTTTGGTCTAAATGGGTACCTGCACTTTGTAAATCCTAATTGTTCTTTGCGCTGTCTTACTAAGCTTGAAAGGCTTTTCTGTCAAATATATTGCTGGATCACAATATGTCTACCTCCATGGTTATTAAAGTACACACGCTTTAAATTCCCCCACCCACCTACTTTGGCCAAATAACGCCATCAATGTCATCTCCCGTGGCACAGAACAAAAATGACATCAAAAGGAACTTCCCTAATCCCCCTAATAGGAAATCATAGAAATTCTAATTGGTACATTCCATTAAGTGAGAACAATGGCTTTTCTTATTGGTAGAAAAAGAAACAATATCAAAGAACTGACACTTCACAGGTAAGCAGATTCCAGCTGCAGCTCAGTTAAAAAGGGACCAACATCAAATTATCCTGCTGGAGTTAAGCGCATAGGAAGCGCAGGATTGACCCCCCCCATACCCAAAAAAGTATGGACATTTGCTAACATACCTCAACACTGAAATGGTTATGTAGATAAACAATACTGCAATGAGGCCCGATGTTCCCAGATAAGACGTACAACAAGTCTATGGTTATTGCTCTGTATGTAAAGGTGCATTGTGATTGTGAGTGTGTCATTGAAGGGTTATATGTTCAGAAATTCAGGATCGCAGTAAAACCAATCACTGAGATCAATAATGGAAACGTGTGATAACAAGTCACTTATTGCCTAAGAGGCGCTATGCTGTTTTGGGCTTTCCTATAAAAACCCCTCTCTGGCTTAAAAGAAATCGAAGGAAGAAACATGGGATTGCCCATTGCCGACTTCTTTTTTACACTTTCATACTCCATCGTTGGCATCCTGCTCCCTTTTTTCACTACCTGGTGAGTCACTGACCCAAAAGAAGCATCTGTATATGAAGTGTTACGGCAAGTATCGGGACTTGGTCACCTTCTCCTATATGACCGCGCTGGTCCCTCATGATTGGCACAGGGGGAAGCAGGAAAAAAGGCCATAGCCCTGTGTAAGCTCCAACAAGTCAGTCTGGAGGGAATACTGGACTTTCAGACCATGAATGGAGCAGCTTGGGATGGGGTAAAAAGGAGAGTACAAGCTTCTGGGGAGAGGAGAAGTTACATTTACATTTTACTTCCCCCCTGTAAGGGAAAAGGAAAGTCTCCCTTTAAAGCGGTTCACAAATATGCCACATTTTCAGATTTATCCATATATTTTTACATCTCAAAATGTGTAATTAGGTTATTCCTAACCTTTGCAGTGGGGCTAACCCCCTGCACTGCAAGGGTTAAGTGCTCAATTTCGTTGAGAGAGGGAAATAAAAAAAAAAGAAGATACACCTCACCTGAACCTCGGAGACAGCTGGCTCCTAAACCGGTCCCTGGAGCCCGTCCCCTCCATTCCATCAATGGAATGTCCCTCGGCATCTTCACGTCCTCTACAGCGTATAGAATGTAATGACTCGCAGGACCTTAGACCACTGGAAGAGGGGGGAAGCAAATCTGAAGGGACCGGTCTAACAGCCAGCGGAATGCAAGGTTCAGGTGAGTATAACTTTGTTATTCTGGCTCCCTATTACAAAAACAAACACTTAACCCTTGCAGTGCAGGGAAAGCTCCACTGCAAAGGTTTAGAATAATTTTGGCCGGAGTTCTTTAAGAGACAGTGAAAGCTGTATTGAAGAAAACCATGCAAATCAAATCCAAATATTTTTTTTTTTAAGTTTCTTTTGGCCAAGGAATGGTTTCGATTTATAAGACAAATAAATGATCTGACTGGCCGCTGTAGGCAACGTCACTGTTTTCATCACACACTGGGTTTGATATAATGCATGAACATGCCCTTTAATTAGGATTTTAAGGGTCACCAAGAGAATAGTTTTGGAAAAGAGCGTCCTGAATAAGCTTCTTCAATTCATGGCTCTCAGTTGGTAGTACAAATGATCAGATTTGAATGATAGGTGCTATCCAATGAGATATGAAACCTCATTTTCTAATTAAAGAAAATTAACTGAAAAAAATACTTCCACTTAAACAGTCAATGAAATTATATGTCAAGCCAAAAATGTTTTTTCTGGTTGTGAATAGAGTGCCGGAAAATGTACTCCCGAGGCTCCATTAGAGAGAATCCCCCTCACTTCCTGTCCTCTTTACCAGGGTTTCAGCAGAGAAGTGAGGAAAGTCTGTAGCAGGGGCACAGGCAGGAATAAGTTCGAGCCTTCACCTTCTCTACTAAACAAAAACACATTTCTTTCTGTATATGTTGGAGAGTTTCCCTCACTTCCTCTCTGGTAAAACATTGTCAGCCGGTGACCGAAAGTGAAGAAAAATCTTATGACTGGTGTGATGACAAAAAAAAAAAAAAAAAAAACGACGGCTTCAAACCTTTCCCCGCTCTATATAAAACCGATATAGAAGAGAAAACCGTTTTGGCTGGAGACACACTTTAAAGAAGACATTTTTATTAACCCTTGCAGTGGGGCTACCCCTGCACTGTAAGGGCTAAGTGCTCGTTTGTGTCTAGGTGCACAAATAACAAAGCTATACTCCCCTGATCCTCGAAACCAGTCGGCTCCTAGACCGGTCTCTGGAGCCTTTCTCCACTGTAGCAGTCTAAGGATTCTCAAGTCATCACGTTCTATACAGTATATAAGACATGAGGACTCCTATGGACATACCATCGCTGCCAGTGGAGGAGGAGACAGGCTGGAGAGAGCACTGTCACATTTGTCCGGCATGGAGGATCAGGTAAATATAACTTTTTTTTTTGACCTAGACACAAACAAGCACTTAACCCTTGCAGTGCCGGGGGTAGCCCCACTGCAAGGGTTAAGAATCCTGCCTTAAGAGAACACCTACAATGTTAATTGTATGACCAACCCTGTGTGTATGCGGGTATCCTGAATTTCATACTCCTAATCCTGTACAGCGAGAAACATGGGGATGTCCCCTGCCATCCTCCTTCTAAAAGTGCCAGACACCTTCGCTGCCTCTGGCTTTGCTATTTCCTGAGTCCCACTCCCGAGCCAAGCATGCAGCAAGTGATGTCACAACTCCCGATCCGCATACTAGTCTTGGTCCAAGACGAGAAATGATTGGGTTAGCATGGTAACTAGTCAACAAGCACTTTCAGCAGAAGAGGTCGGCAATGGCAGCCCGCGTATTTCTCTCAGCACAAGTTTCCCTTAGGAAGCCGCCATAGCAGCAGCGATTTATCTGATTCAAGTAGTTCCCATCACAATGGACCTTTAATGTAAGCTGCTACAATGGTTTATAGTAAGACATAAATAGCGGCATTCATTCACAGTAAAAAAAAAAATGAATTGATGATTTTGTACAGCAGTGTTATCACCTCAGCAATGGCACATAGAAAAAAAAATATGAGCATTTAAAGTATAGACTATTGGACATGTTTAACAATGCAAAAAAGACAGCTGTGTGAACATGTAAATAAAGCTTGGATATACCGAGCAGAGAGACCTAGCAGCAAAGACAAAACTAATTTGCATAATATGTAGTGCAACGGGTAATCAGCACATGTCTCTTACCAAATATCACCCCTCCCCAATGAATATGGATAGATGATAGAGAACTGGGCACACTGAGCTCGGGGTCTAGTCATGCCCTGCTACATAGCAGGATATGCTGCAACAGCAAAAGGCAGAGCGTGTCCAACTCTGAGCTTTACAAGGAAAGTCCAACCCCGGCAGAACGGTCAAGCAAGGCCGCACCTCCAGGTCACCAAGTCACGTCCTACGCCTTTGATTCTTCAGTTGCTCATAACAAAAGAATACAAACTGCAGTAGTTTGCAACTCATTGCAGAGGTGCAGCGGTGCAGATTGGGCTACCATCATTCAGTATGAAGGCCGGGGGTGGGCATTCCCATAAAGCAGTTCAGTGGCTGAAGAGGCTTCAGTTGGCTATTTTGTGATAAATTCACCCACGGGGGTTGTAAAGGAAGAGAATGCCCAGAATCATTAGCCATAAATTACACACTATAATGTTCTAGTATAGACAGATCTATGCAAAGGTATGCTCTGGATAGCTAACTTTTATGGCTCCCCAGTAACAAGCCCGAATAAGACAAACTAAGCCTAAGAGATAGGCAACCGCCCAGGAGACGTACGTTGCACGGAAATGTCTGGCGAAATCTTGTGTGCCGACCTGGGAAAGAACAGAGAATAAAGTCACTTCGATTGCAGTAGTATTTGCATGCATTTTAACTGGAAATTTCTGCATTCCTTTGGTTACATGAAAAGAATATCGACACCTGAAATAAACCACAATAGATAAGTGTAGAACATGGGAATAAAAACAGGCATCCTAAAACCCAAGTAAATACCTGAGACCTTTCTCCCTGGGAGCCCCCAAAGTTCTTCTACAAATACCAAAACATTAACATGCCCCCAACATCAGCCGGCCTCATCATGTTCTATCCCCGTGACACCCTTTAAAGCAGTCAAGCAAAACACTCATCAACTCATAACCAGCTTTAAAGCACGGTGCACATGGCTGGTGAGTGTGCTGGGAAACTTTTTGCTGGTGTACTGTATAAAGCCCTTCCATGTGCACCTTGCTCTAAAGCTGGTTATGAGTTGATGAGTGCGTTTCTGCCATTTGTTTTGCTTGACTGATTTGGTGCAGTGACACACTGGGAGTCTCAGCTACCGTTGTGATGTGCGGGGTCCCTTGTGTGTCCCTGTGCCTTTAAGGGGGTTGTGCTTCCTCCTGGCGGACCTGCACACAATTTTATCTTTTGCTACATGTGCTCCAAGATGGAGACTCTCATAGTTTAGAGTTAGGACCGCACTACACAGAGGAAGCTTGGCGCGGCTGTGCGGCTTTCACATACTCTGCAGAAGACGTGTATCTAAACCTCTGTTTTTGAACCTTAGCGGTTAGACAAGTTTTTTTTGCATGCGGGCTGGTGAGTGTGCTGGGAAACTTTTTGCTGTTGTACCCTTTAAAGCAGAACTCCCGGTAAATCAAAGCTTAACCCTTTCAGTAGGGCTACCCTAAGGTCCTGTGAGTCTTCACATCATTTACAGTGTATTGGACATGAGGATGCTGAGGGACATTTCATCACTAGACCGGAAGAGGAAGGAGAAAGCTTGGAGGCAGCAGTGTAAGAGCATGCCGGGATCTCAGTTCAGGTTAGTATTAATTTTGTTGTTTTTGCACCCTATACAAAATGAGCACTTAACCCTTGCAGGGCGGGGGGGGGGTAGCCCCACTGCAAGGGTTAAGGTTTGATTTGCCCAGAGTTCTGCTTTAACGAGGACATAAACTTTCCAGCTGAGATAGAAACAATAAAACAAATGTAAGTCATTGTTATAGCGGCCACACATGTATTAATATGAATCGATCATTCAAATTGAATTAAAAAACAAAATGAACATCAATAGATTTAGAGAGCTCTTGATAAACTTTGGTTTTACTGTGTTGATAGTGTACACTGTATGGCAGAATTTCATAGATCACTTCTGGCGGCACCAATAAATATGTGTTTGTGTCAGAGAATAGTACAGCTCTACTAATATGATGGGATATTAAACGTCAAAAGGTTTTCTAACTAAGTCAGCTGCTAAATGATGTACAATGGATGCTGCTCCTTGAGGTTTAAAAGTTTTAGCTTCCTGCAGAATCAGCTGCCCTCCCCCCTGAGCACTGGCCCAGATATTCTGGTTTAGGGTGACTCCTTTCCCTTGCAGGTTTCTACAGAGCCATCCTTGTGTGCGTTAGTAAGCCGTGTGTCTCCACAGCACAAAGACGCAGCAAGGCAATCCACTCCCCTTTTCCCCACTTCCTCCTTATCCTGGCGAATAGATGGACAGTTGCTGCAGATAGCCTTGCCCCTTGTGATCCTATACTGGACAGGAAGTTCAGGGAATTGGAGCTGAGAGAGTTGGACCCATCTGTTTGGAAACATGAAGACTGTCAATGTCTGGACAAAAAAGGAAAAAAAAAAAATATATGACATGGATTGGTCTCCACAGAGTCCAGACCATAACCCCATTGGGAGTCTTTGGGATGTGATGGAGAAGACTTTACGCAGTGCTCCGACTCTCCCATCATCACTACAAGATCTTGGGGAAAACTTAATAAAACCCTGAACAGAACTAAATGTTGTGACATTGTGAAAGCTTATCAAAACGATGTCATGGCGAATGTGTGCCGTATTCAAAGCTAAAGGTGGTCCAACGAAATATCAGAGTGTGTGACTTTTTTTTGCCAGGCAGTTTATTAAGACTGATTAATGGTATATTCTGTAAACTTCAAAGTGTGGAACAATACTGCGACACTGCATCATTCAATATATTCATTGGTGATGAGTTGCTGTGATTACTGGAATCCAGAGCAATCACAAATCAATATGTATATGGCCACCTTTAGAGATTCTATGCAGTTTTCTTATCCAGAGAATATTCTTATTGCCTTCTAGGGTTTGGAAGCAAAACAACTTGCTATAGAAGCCCAGGGGTTATAGATTTGCATTTAGAACCAAAACAAATTTGTTAGTGTGCGGGAGGGAGGGCCTGACGGGAGAGAAGAAGACTTGAGAATTTGTATTTCTGCAACCTAAATGACTTACCATATAATAAATGGAAAATCAAATTCAATTTCACATAAAAAAGCTCAATCCAAAAATCGATATTTTTTTGTAATTGATACATGTTATTGGAAAACAAATAAAAGGGTTTTTAGAGTGTATAAATGATGACATAAACACAGTTCTATTTGTTGGACAGACTTCCTTCAAGTAGCGGCTTTGAACTGAAAATGTACAGGTAAAATAAACATGAAATGACTCACTTACAGTTAGGCCAACACCAATAAAAATGCAGATCATTCCCATTGTAATATAAGCACAGCAGCGTCGGCGGGGAAGGGCACTTCCTACAGATGATCTGAGAAAAGAAGAAAAAAAAAATCTATTAGATTTTAATTTCCACTCTAAATTACTGCACCGTTCTGGAGGAAATACACAAAGCTCACCAAGATTCAAGTAGCAATACACAGTACATGGCTCTTGTATTTAGCCAATATTTTCTTATCCCGGATTTCCCCTTTGAAGTAGATGCAATCCCAAACTGAAAGAAATCTAGTTTGCTAAAACACTATGGAGGGGAATTTATCAAAACTGGAGTAGACAGAATCTGGTACAGCTGTGCATGGCAACCAATCAGCATTCACCTTTCATTTTCAAACCTTAACTGAACAAACTGAAGAGAGAAGCTGATTGGTTGCCATAGGCAACTGCTCCAGATTGCCATAGGCAACTGCTCCAGATTCTTCTGCTCCAGTTTTGATAAATGTCCCCCTATGCATCATAAACAATTCATTTTTTTAATTCTTATTAATAATTATCTCATCTAATGTTGGAAATCAACACTACTGATCTCCACCAGCCACTTCCTGTCCACTTGCATGCATTCCAGCAACTGCTTGATGACTGAACAGCGTGTTTGTAGAGCACTGGATCCGACTAGGGGAAAATATTCCAAAACCAGAGGCAGGTATCTGTTACTTGGATGGTCCTCAGTGGCTCTTGAAGTAGTGATAGACGACTTGTCAGATTGACTGTTGGTCCATTACAGCAGCATTCCCTATGAATGTATGTGCATTACCTTTTGTCCAGATTTACCCCTATTTCATGCCGGTTTTTGAGCCTCTGAAAAGCATGGGCTTCTTTTCATGCAGTAAAAGTTTACTGGACACATGCTACAATTGTGGTGCTCCCCCTTTTTTCTCCTACATGTCATTCCTCCATTACCTGATGGTGACAACAGGGGACCATGCCTGTATAGTAGGGCTGCAACAACTAATCGACATAATCGATTATAATCGATTATTGAAAAAGTTGTCAACTTTTTCAATAATCGAATAATCGGCTTCCTGATCTTGTGCATCAGAGCGGACACTTGCATTAAGATAGCATTGGACAGAATGAGAACACAGGAGATCAATTGGTAGGCAGGGACAGAGCGATGTCACTAGAAAACAGGAGGGGCCTAAACAAGGACCACCAGCTAATATTTTAATATAAACAACAGATTTTACATTTTTGACATTCAATTAACATGTTAAAGTGTACCACTAGCTATAGAGGACTACAAAACCCAGCAATAGTACATTATACAGCGCAATACAGAATACCACCAGCTATAATGTACTATTGCTGGGATTTGTTGTATTCCCCTATAGCTGATGGTATTCTGCATTGCGCTGTATAATGTACTATTGCTGGGATTTGTAGTCCTCTATAGCCGGTGCCATTCTGCATTGATTGCTGTATAATTTTACACTTTCCATTTCACTATATTGCACACCAATTATTTTTTTCTTCCACCGCTCCAAGCTTGCTCCTGTGATGGACTACAATCTCAATACAAACTAGTAGTCCATCACCGGAGCCATTTAAAAAAAAATCCAGATTAACCGATTAATCTAACTTAATAATTGGCTAACTAATCGATTTTGAAAATAATCGTTAGCTGCAGCTCCACTTCCAGCACAAACACATGATATATCATCATACATCTGGGTGTCACGGTAGAAAGATCACTTCTGTGATTCCACATATACTGCATGTGTGACGCAGTCGGGAAGGTGTTAAAATAATAATGAGACGCAGCAGAACATTAAAAAGATGTAAACAGGAGTTTATTAAAACCATGGCAGTTGTGCATGATACCAAGTGCTTTAGCAAACTAAAGGCCATTCAGTTATGGTTTACATGCTTTTGAAAGTAAACCATTTTATACTATGCCATTTAATTTTAATTTAAGAAAAAAAAATGTTTTGCATAAATTAAAAAATGTTTTGCATAAATTAAATATACAGCTCTGCACCTTTGCTACTATAAAATGCCATCCTCAGAGTGGGACATCGGCATGCTTGGCTTACATTATTAGGGAGATTATTGAAAAATAAGGAAAAACACATGACATATGACTATATCCACTATGTGATCATTGAATGGTATGATTGCTCACATGACTTCAATGTGACTGGTCTTTTCTCATGGAATGTGTACAGGGGAACAATCTCTGCTCTGAGCTTTGCTTTCCCCATAGAGGAGAGATCAATTCTGGTTGAGTTTGTCTGGAATATAATTTTCGTAAAGTCTGTGTGAATGCTTTCTAGGATTGCAGCCATCTTTACGTTTTAGCTTCTATACAAAGATAATGCTGGTGAGGTTAAAGGTCAACTCCACCCAAAATACAGTTGGGCAGAATCAGCTACTGTATTCTTCGATATGTCAAGCAATGTACTGTATATATAGTCCACCAAAACCTGCTCTAATATTTGGCTGGAAAGATTAATAAGGTTGAGATGATACTTCTGCAGGCTGTGACTGACCCACCTCCTGCTTGCTATTTAAAATTTTAGTCTATGTTTAGTCCATGTTTAAGTAACATGCATTGAGGGCTGTCTCCTTCATATAAAGCAGTCTTAGATAAGTTAGTTTTCACCACTGCAAGAACTTTTCAGTGAACAGAGTAATGTCCTACCCTAAAGCCCCTCTCCTACTGTCCATAACCCCAAACCTAACCATACTTCTACTTGTAAACCTAACTCTCACACTGAGCATCCATGTAAATACAGCCCTAACATGAACCTTCCCTGTCACCCTAACTCTACTCCTACTTGTAACCCTAACTCTCACACTGCCCATCCCTGCAACCCCAAACCTAACATTACCTTCCCTATCACCATACCTCTACCCCTTCTTGTAACCCTAACTCTCACACTGACCATCCATGTAAATACAGCCCTAACATTAATACCTTCCCTGTCACCCTAACTCTACTCCTACTTGTAACCCAAACCCTCACATTGACCATTCCTGTAAAAACAACCCTCACACTAACCCTCCCTTTCACCCTAACACTACCCCTCCTTGTAACCCTAACTCTCACACTGCCCATTCCTGCAACCCCAAACCTAACATTACCTTCCCCATCTTGGGCAGGCAGATAGTACTTGCGATAATCGCAAGCCCGCCCAGCTGAGGGGCGGGCTTCCGATAACCGCAATGCTGAACGGGCAGTGTGCGCTTGCGCACACCGGCCCGTGCGGCAGTTATCTCACGATCATGCTACAAACCAGCCGAAAAGTGTACGATTCTCGGCTGGTTTTCGAACATGCTCGAAAGACAAAAGTCGTGCGACTGTACAGTAGAAACGGTCGCACGCCTTCCACACATCTTGCGATAATCGTACGATCGCGGGATTTCCCGTGATTATCGTACGATTATCGCAAGGTATGTGGGCACCTTAACACTAACCCTCCCAATCACCCTCATTCTACCCCTTCTTCTAAATCCAATCTTCACATTGGCCATCCCTGTATCCCCAACCCTAACCCTCAATGTCACCCTAACACTACCCCTTCTTCTAAATCCAATCTTACACTGACTCTCCCTTTAAAACCAGACCCCAATACTATCCCTTCCTGCCACCCCAATACTCACATTTACTTAACCCCTAGTTTGCATGCTCATTTACCTTGTTAGGATCCCAGCATCAAACTGCATTGTTCAAAGCCTCTACACGGCCCTTTAAACAGCTCAGAAGGCATCTCCTGCACATATCTAATTACCCTTTCAGCTGGTTCGCATCTTGCATCATCTCAATATAAAGACATACTTTGGATAATTAGAACCTTTGAATTGAAAATGAAGCTATGAATTTCAAAAGGAATACATAAGTGAACTAAAAGTCGGTTTAAGATATTTGCCTGAAGTTCTATAATCCTAAATGTCAGATACTTACATTTTCTTGCAATGTGGGCACTTTGCCAATGTGTTAAATCTCAGTTCCATCCACTGCAAGAGAGAAAGAGAAGCTGGTCAGCGACAATGTTTATTTAGTGTCATCTCAACGTCATAAGCAGACTATGGATACAAACATCTCTCTGGAATGTTATTCAACATTGATAGATGACATTTGTCTTCCACCAAGCAAATGGCCCGTAGACTGGTATTCCCAAAACAGGGAAATTCCCAGGCTTTGGTGCAATTAGGTCAGCCAATGGTTGATGTAACACAGGCTCTGAGCAATGATATCACTTGATTAACCCCTTCGTGAGTGACCTACAGTGTACGTCGCCAGCATCGGGGCTGTTTAAACAGACTCCCGGCGACTTTTGCCGCCGGGACTCTGTTTAAACTTGTAGAGCCGACTGTCGGCTTTACAACAGAAGCGATTCTGGCGACTTACCTGTCGCCAGATCGCTTCTGTGTCCCGAAGAAGGGGCCGCCTTTGCCCCTCCTACGGGCCCGGGACCGGCTTCCTAGGTTTCCGCGGAGAGCTGGGGAGGAAAAATCGACGAACTTCCGTTCATCGATCCCCTCCCCGTTCTATGGGACCGGGAGTGATGCAAATTGCATCACTTCCGGTCCCTGGGCTGTCAGTTCTGGGCTCCTGCAGCCCAGCTATAAGCTATTGAAGTGCGATCTGCACTTCAATAGCTTCATGAAGGGGTTAAAGTCTGTTTGAGAGTGGTTGAAGTTGTCTGTGTGCATCGCCAGCATAAGAGGCGTATTCGTTAAAACTGTATAGTTAGAAATGGGCAGTAATCTACAACAGCCAGTTAAGAACCACATCTCTGACCACCTCTATAGACCATTTACAATAATAAATGTACGCATCATTAGTAAATAAAATCCTATTCTCTCTTAGACCAGAAACCAGAACGTGTCCAGGGTAATACATACAGAGGGGAATTTTTCCTGGGCAAATGCTCCAGATTCGGTCTTCTCCAGTTTTGATAAATTCTCCTCACAGTATGTAGGTGAAATGTAGATTAGAAACTTACCAGAAAAGTGTTTCCACAGTGACCACAAACTACTCGGGTACCTTCTGGCTGAAGCGGGAGGGCGGGCTGGGCAGGCTGTTCTTCAGGTATCAGCATCACCGGGCCCAGATTAATGATACGTCTGCTATAAAGATAAGCCAATATTATTACCTAAGAGCTGCAGTTTCAAGAAGTAGAATTTGCCATCAGTAGATTTGTTTAGCACAGGGGAATAATACATAGGGGCAGAGGGAATTGGGGGCCTATTCCTGCTATTTCCGGAAGAATTTCTCTCTTCTAGAGATAGAGGATTTAAATAGAGGATTTCCCATGTTTCTTTGATGTCCCTTTTCTTTTTTTTTATATATTATAGGTATTTATATGGCACCAACAATTTACACATCGCTTTACATTTTATATATTCACA